AAGAATATAACTTTTGCTCAAGCCTTGAAAAAGTATGAATGTATATCACTTACGCTTTAGATATAATATAATAATAACAGCTGACAATCATGCTTGTATTTTATTGATAAATATTGTACTAGAATATGATGCTGTTATGGACTATGGCGGGAGGCAGGACGACCTTGAGTGGCCACACTAACCTAAGATGAGGAATATTTTATGTTACTGTGGATATAAAAGCCTCAAACACATCATCACAAGTGTGTATGAATAGTGAATTGTTGTTATCAAGAGTGTTGTAAAATACAACACACATAAACTAAGTTTAATATGGCTTCACAAGTTGTCAGGAGTAACACAAGGAAAATTATAATTTTAGGATTAATATGGATTCTGGTGATGATTGTTCTTTCCTACTGTGGCTGTGATGTGTATAATTCTTCCCTCAAGCATGACGACCATGAGTCCTCCAGTGACCATGTATTATTACCTCTCAAAGGTTGGTATAGATACTTAGCAAGTAAAAAAGTGGGCCTTTTTTATGTTAAGTCTTATGGTCAGCCACATACATTATTATAATCTTTGGAAAGTGCTAAACCTGTAAGTGTCATACAATGCCTTCAAAATGTGAGATAATAAGGACCCCAATGGAAATGAGTCCTAGGTAATTTACACTGTGTATAATAATTGTACTTATGTGTACCTGTACCTGTACTTACTTAATCCAGTTGTTTAAGAAATTTGTACTGAGAATTGAGTCATGTCATGGCTGTAGCTTACGACTGCTACTTGGCTGAACTTGGGCATTAGTTTACATTTTACATTTTGTAAAGCCTATGTACACCATGAAATAAGTAAATATTTCTGCGCAGATTGTTGTTTTGGGAAATTAGCAAAAATTTACATCCACTGATGGTGGAGTAAGGTTAAGGAAATACATCCTAATGTTTCCACCCTTACCTGGGATCAACCCCTGGACCTCATTGTGTGAGCTGAGTGCACTTGCAGTCAAGCTACAAGACGCCTGAAGTACATTGTTGCAGGTAGCTTAGTAAAGCAAGCTTGTGCCTTTGTTATATTTGGGTTTAAATGTGTTCATATCCTGGTAACTTATAAAAACTTCTCTTATTGATCAGGTTTGATATCAAATGATGGAGAAAAAACAAAATTCATTTTTGCATTTGAATGACTCATTGTTACCACCTCCTGGCAGTGAGTTAATGATTGACTAAGTCAGGTGGTGGCTTTTGTAGCTGTATTTTGTATCGCATTTGTTATCAGATGATTGAAGAGAATGAGTGCATTATTGTTATTATTGTTTGTAAGTGGCATATTGATAACACCTTAGAGAAAATCAGTGATAAATATTTAGTAAGCCAGGTGACTTTAAGTACTTTATTTTCTAACAGATTAATAATTTTGATATTAAATGATTGAAGGCACTGATTACAATACATAGGGGTATGCCAAATTGGCGGTATCGGTATTGGTGGGTAGCATTTAATCTTGATGGTATTGGTATCAGCCTAAAATTATTGTTTGTGAGTAACTTAGTGGGGAAACATATGGGGTTTGAGGAAATTATGGTTAAAGTTGAATATAGAATGTTAAATATAGGTCCAACGTAAGGATTTTAGCACAGTATTAAATGTTGAATTAGGGGCCAACTTCAACCGAGTTGAAAACTGGCAGAGAATTAATGCTAGCAAATTTTTGTTACAAGCACTGAATAAGCAAATGGTTCTAATTGCTTTGTAAATCATACTTTAGAAATTGTGCCTCCTTTAGAGTATTTCATAATATATATCTTACATACCAATATGTGTTCAGCACTTAGAGTTTGGTAATTATTTATTTGTAGCTACAAGGCACTGCTGTGATCTTGGTGTCCCATCTTCAATAATTTGTTCATCCTATATTTTTTAAAAAATTGCAGTGGTTGAAGCACTTACTAAATCCTCTTGTAATTCATTCATTAAAGTTGTGAAGCCAATATGTGTACACAAATGGGGCAAACTCTTCCGCATAGCCAATTACAGTTGGTGTCCCACAGGGAAGTGTCCTAGGCCCTCATCTCTTTCTCATATACATAAATGACCTACCAAATGCATCGCAACTACTCAAACCCACACTATTTGCAGATGACACTACATACGTCTTCTCTCACCCGAGCCCAGTCACGCTAGCCAATACGTACTGTAAATACCGAATTACAGAAAATATCTACTTGGATGAGTACTAATAAACTTACTCTAAACATTGACAAAACCTACTTCATTCAGTTTGGTAACAGAGCTACAGACGTCCCTCTTAACATAATGATAAACGGATCACCTATCACAAAACTCACAGAGGGAAAATTCTTAGGAATCCACCTTGATAATTTCAAACACATATACAACAAATTTCCAAAAAAAATTCCAAGACCGTAGGCATACTATCGAAGATATGGTACTATGTTCCACAGTCAGCCCTCCTGGCCCTATATCACTCACTTATTTACCCCTATCTCACGTATGGAATTTGTGCATGGGGCTCAACAACAATAAACCATCTCAGACCATTAATTACCCAACAAAAGGCTGCAGTCAGAATGATAACAAATTCCCACTACAGGCAGCACACTCCACCAATATTCAAAACTCTAAACCTACTCACCATACAAAACATCCATACTTATTATTGTGCCTACTACATTGATAGAACACTTAACTCTGATATAAACCCTCCCCTCAAACGTCTCCTTACCAATCTCAACAGAACACATGACCATAACACAAGGCACAGATCACTCTTTGATGTTCCTCATGTCCATCTCACGCTATGCAAAAACTCAATGCACGTAAAAGGCCCTAAAATCTGGAATTCACTACCTGTGAATATAAAAGAAACACTGTCTGTTTATAAATTCAAGTCTCTTCTCAAAAATCACTTACTCACCCACAACTAAATAAATACTGAATAATTGTATCTCATAAATTGTATCTCATAAATGTTTTCATTATTGTATCTCATAAATGTCTAACCTGTGACCCAATCAAACTTTGTTTTTTTTTTTAAATACATTACCTAACAGAAAACTCCATTCTATTGAATGCACAGCAACACAGTAAATGACCATATGACCGTCTTTGTAATACTCATTTGTGCTAAATTGTTATCTGTTTACAGTAATGTTTTTACCACTGATTATATCATTGCTTAGTTAATCTTAAGTTAATTTTAAGCCTGCCCATAATGCTCTGCATACAAGGGGCTTTGGCATGTTGCACTATAATAACTGTATTCCTTTGTACTTCACTGTATCATGTTCAAATAAATACAGTGGACCCCCGCTTAACGATCACTCCCCAATGCAATCAATTATGTAAGTGTATTTATGTAAGTGCGTTTGTACGTGTATGTTTGGGGGTCTGAAATGGACTAATCTACTTCACAATATTCCTTATGGGAACAAATTCGGTCAGTACTGGCAACTGAACATACTTCTGGAATGAAAAAATATCGTTAATCGGGGGTCCACTGTAAATAAATAAATAAGGTGTTATGCAGCTATGCATAAGTACTGTACCATATTTTCACTAACAAATATTTAAAAATTTTCAGAATACAAGAATTATTTGGAAAATGAAAATTCTACAGATAAAAAAATCCTATGCTATTATTCAATTCCTCAAAATGGAAGCAGTGAAACCCCTCTGACCGCAAAGGATATTGATTCAACTCTTTGTACACATATTATTATTTCTAAGGCCAAAATTGAAAACACCACTATTGTCCCAGTTGATGAAGGAGATTTTAAGGTAAAAACAACTATATTTTATAGTTTTATTTTTAAGCTGATGTGTCTGGGTATAAGACTTTCAAGCACTGTTGTACATGAAATTACTGTGAAAATTGAATTAAAAGAGTTGCTTTCTCCCATTGCTGTTTTTTGTACTGTACTATGGCAATTTTGTATTCAAAATGCAGCACCAGGGTATATAAAATATTCATGGATAATGTGAGCACAAGGATTTGTTAGCAATCCCACCTAATGATCACTTTGTAATTACTGGCAAGTGGTGGGAAGATTGAAAATTCTAAATTCCAGCTACATATGTGAAATTATACTGTATATGTATTATTATCCTTCAAGGTGTATGCTGAGGTTGTGGCTATGAAGAAGCAGAATCCAGACCTTTATGTGCTCCTGAGTCTTGCTACTGGCTTCTCTTCTCTTGTTCAAGATCGTATAGCAGTTGCAGTGTGAGTCACAAAGTCAACATGAATCATAAACCTGTGCTAAGTAAAATGCAATTTGTATTAAACAAAAGGTTAATATTAATTCTGTATGCAGTGTAATTATACATATAACTACAGTATTTATAAATTAGTGTTTAAGTGAAACTGTATTAATTAATTCTCATTTACTCAAAAAACTACAGCTTTCTACTTATTCTGATACCTGTGTTCATTGTTCTAGGGTGATGCTATGGATGCTTCTTGGCAGTTCTATAGCTCGTTGAACAGGTGTCTTTTTCGACGCCCTGGCATGCTTACTTTGTCTGCCTTTTTTTCTGATGGTCTCGCTTTTTCTGCAGACTCACTGTATGATTTCTTAAATAACACTGATTTGCTACATCTGTGACCCCCATTCTTTCTGCCTACTGGTATGTCCTTACCTCAGCACCACCACCTCCACTTCTCCTTCCCCATCATCACTTGTATCTGTGCTGTATGGCACAGAATTACCCTCATGAATTTAGTACTCTCCATGATTATAATAATAGTAATAATACAGTAGTCAGTTTAAAAAAATGATTACAGTACAGTACAGTAGCCAGTTTAAAAAAATGATTACAGTACTTTTTGTTCCACACAGGTTTGCTTACAATGCACATAAGTTCCTAACCACCCATGGATTTGACGGTCTTGACCTAGATTGGGAGTTCCCTGCTTGGCCACCCGGGAAGAAGAATCCAAAAGAGAAGACATGGTTCACTTACCTTCTCCTTCAACTGAACAATGCTCTCAAGGTATTGTATGTCAGTACAGTGGAACCTCGGTTTTCGTCATTAACCCTTTGACTGTTTCAGGCCCCTCTCTGAAACTGTCATTCTATGTCGCCAAATATTCAAAAAAAAAAAAATTATTTTTTCTTATGAAAATGTTAAGATTATTTTTCTGAGTGTTTTAGTCCAAAAAAAAAATTTTTGCATCGGTACTTACTGAGATATAGAGCCTTGAGTTTGCAGAAAATGAGCCGCGTATGGCAACAGCGGCGACTGCCGCTCACCCGGTAAACTTTAGTTTACTTGTAATTGAAGGTTTTTTGTTTTTTTCACTATTTTATTTTTTCACATAAACTTATGTGGCTATGAGACCAATGTAAGGTGCAATGTATATGATATACATCTCGTTGTATACAACACAATAAGCACACAAACATTTATTATCATTATATTGTTTACAAAACTTGTTACAAAACAAACAAACAAACAATAAGAAAATAAAAAATAAGAAATACATAATAAAATTAATAATAATAATAATAATAATAAAATAATAATAATCCTCCTCCCTCCTCCTCCTCTCCTCCTCCTCCTTCTCCTCCTCCTCTTCTCTCTCCTCCTCCTCCTCTCTCCTTCTCCTCCTCTCCTTCTCCTCCTCCCCTCCTCCTCTCCTCTCTCTTCTCTCCTCCTCCTCCTCCTCCTCCTCCTTCTCCTCCTCCTCCTTCTCCTCCTCTCTCCTTCTCCTCCTTCTCCTTCTTCTCCTTCTCCTTCTCTCCCTTCTCCTTCTCCTTCTCCTCCTTCTCCTTCTCTCCTCCTTCTCCTTCTCCTCCTTCTCCTTCTTCTCCTTCTCCTCCTCCTCCTCCTTCTCCTCCTTCTCCTTCTCCTCTTCTCCTCCTCCTTCTCCTCCTTCTTCCTCCTTCTCCTCTCTCCTCCTTCTTTCCTCCTCCTCCTTCTCCTCTCCTTCTCCTCCTTCTCCTTCTCCTCCCTCCTTCTCCTTCTTCTCCCTCCTCCTCTCCTTCTTCTCCTCCTCCTCCTCCTCTCCTCCTTCTCCTCCTTCTCCTCTCCTCCTCCTTCTCCTCCTTTCTCCTCCTTCTCCTCCTTCTCCTTCTTCTCCTCCTTCTCCTTCTCCTCCTTCTCCTTCTCCTCCTTCTCCTTCTCCTCCTCCTTCTCCTTCTCCTTCTCCTCCTCCTTCTCCTTCTCCTCCTCCTTCTCCTTCTCCTCCTCCTTCTCCTTCTCCTCCTCCTTCTCTCCTTCTCCTTCTCCTCCTCCTTCTCCTCCTTCCCCTTCTCCTCCTCCTTCTCCTCCTTCTCCTTCTCCTCCTCCTTCTCCTTCTCCTTCTACTTCTACTTCTACTTCTCCTTCTCCTTCTCCTCCTTCTCCTTCTCCTCCTTCTCCTCCTCCTTGTCTTGTGTGCGAGTGTGTGGCTTATAATTGTTTTGAGTCAGAAGTCGGCAGCTGTCAAAGTGACATATTGTCTCATTACTCACACCCCTACCTCCTGTCAAAACAATGGGGTCGGACGCTGCTTCCCCTCCTCCATTCTATCTAATTATCTTTCTCCCTCATTCTATATCTTTCAATCTGTCTCTCTTTCTATCTGTCTGCCTATCTCTGTCTCACAGGTACACATAAATACAAGTATACATAGTGTAAATTACCTAGGATAACCCAAGAAATCCAGACAAAGTGCTATACTCTGCTTGAAGATGTGAGTAAACGTGTGACACAGTCTTGTGGCTCTCTCTGAGACAGAGAGCTAGATGGACAGACAGGGAGCTTGACAGACAGACAAATAGACAGACAGAAATGTTTGTGTACCAGCAAAAACAAAGGGAGGGCGATGGTCATGTAATATTACCCTCCTTACGCTCATCAACGTCAGCTCTTATCAGATGTTATCTCCCCTTATCTTGTCACTGTCAAAGGGGTGGACTTTTTTTTTTCTTGCTTCAAGGGAAAAAATATTATTACATCATCTTCTTCCTCCTCCCCCTCTTCTCCTTCTCCTCCTCCTCTTCCTTCCCTCCTCCTCCTCCTCCTCTTCCTTCCCTCCTCCTCCTCCTCCTCCTCTTCCTCCCCTCCTCCCCCCTCCTCCTCCCCCTTGCTTTTGGTCTCAAACTCCTCCAAATCATGAAATTGATCTTCACTGACACTTCCATCTGTGTTAGAGCATCACTTGGGAAGAGAAGAGTCCCAGATTTGCTAGGGAATCACATATTTCTTACCGCTAGACATGCTGAAAAAGGACAACTGAAATGGCATTCCCACAATGCACCACTGGCTCCCCGATTTTTTTTATATGGTGCACACTGACCATGGAGACCCATTCTCTCACATGTGGGCCTACCAGCTTTCTCCTGCTTGATTTGAAGCAGCTAGAATTTATGCGTATAAATACGTCAGAAACATTGGCTCGTAAGACGTATTTATACGTCGGAAACAGTCAAAGGGTTAATTCGTTCCAGAAAGTCTGACGAAAACCGAATTCAATGAAAACTGAAGCAATATTTCCCTTAAGAAATAATGTAAATCCAATTAATCCGTTCCAGACACCCAAAAGTATTAACAAAAAACACGTTTTATGGAGAATAACTATAGTTTTACGTACAGAAAACAGTGAGAAATAAATAAATAGGACTAATGAAATGGATAAATGAACATTTAACATCACTTTTACCTTTATTGAAGGTTCTTGTTGGCGTATAGAAGATGGTGAGGAGGGGAGAGGGAGGAGAGGTTATCTCTACCACTATCACAATCATTACCACCCTCTACCACCATCACTACCACCCTCTACCACCATCACTACCACCCTCTACCACCATCACAACCACCCTCTACCACCATTGCTACCACCATCACAACCACCCTCTACCACCATTACAACCACCCTCTACCACCATCACAACCACCCTCTACCACCATCACAACCACCCTCTACCACCATCACAACCACCCTCTACCACCATCACAACCACCCTCTACCACCATCACAACCACCCTCTACTGCCATCACTACCACCATCACTACCACCCTCTACCACCATCACAACCACCCTCTACCACCATCACTACCACCCTTTACCACCATCACTACCACCCTCTACCACCATCACAACTACCCTCTACCACCATCACTACCACCCTCTACTATCATCATTACCACCCTCTACCACCATCACTACCACCCTCTACCACCATCACTACCACTCTCTACCACCATCACAACCACCCTCTACCACCATCACTACCACCCTTTACCACCATCACTACCACCCTCTACCACCATCACAACTACCCTCTACCACCATCACTACCACCCTCTACTACCATCACTACCACCCTATACTACTATCACTACCACCCTCTGCCACCATCAGTACCACTCTCTACCACCATCACTATAACCCTCTACCACCATCACAACCACCCTCTACCACCATCACCACCACCCTTTGCCACCATCACTACCACCCTTTGCCACCATCACTACCACCCTCTACCACCATCACTACCACCCTCTACCACCATCACTACTTGGTCTCAGACCGAGCCGTGGGGGCGTTGACCCCCGAAACCCTCTCCAGGTAAACCTACTACCATAACTCTCAGTAGTATCAGTTCCTAGTAACCAGTTACCAGTAACCAGTTACCAGTAGTATGACTCACTACCAACCGTCTGCTTGAATCACTGACTGTTATTCATGTTGCTGCTGACTATAGCATGTTTTTGAATGCTGCTCACCCCTAGGACCCAATTCGTGAGTCAGTCTTAAGATAGAGAGCAGAGAGGCAGGGTGGGCCTGGTGCTTCCCATATACACCTACCATCCGACTTATGACCTGCTCGACTTACGACCACTCGACTTACGACCGTGTTTTTTATACCAAATTTCTGGGAAATAAACAACTATTTGTGTTGTACACAGTGTTTATCCTAAACCTTACAGTATAAAATACAGTACTAACAGCATAAAAAGTAAAGTAAAACATGAAATACTAAAATAAAACAATAAAATAAAGTCATTACAAAAATGTTTTGTTGATATTCATTAGTAAAGTTCGACTTACGACCATTTCGACTTACGACCAGTTTCTCGGAACCGAACTCGGTCGCAAGTCGGATGGTTGGTGTATTCCATTATAATTATACCCCATTATTGTCTATGTGACTTTCCTTTACCCAATTCACGTAATCGAACCCCCCACATGACAGATTGGTGCGAACCAATAAGAAAGTACTTGATGTCTTGAGAGCCACTATCAATCCCAACAGTGAAACTTGGGATGAAGTTATACCTGACGTGCAGTGTGCTATAAATTCTGCTTACAATGTTTCTATAGGTGACACTCCACATTATGCATTGTATGGTGTAGATAAACGTTTGCCTTATGAGTTGCTATATTCTAATCCGAAACCAAATTACAACCCTGATGATTTCATAGCAGCTCGTACCAGCTTAGCTCAAAGTGTTTTTAGAAGAATCCATGAAACACTCATAAATCAACAGTAGAATTTACAAGAGTCACAAACACTCGAGCAAAGCCGTCCAAAATCAAAGTAGGTTCGAGAGTTATGCTGACTAACTTTTACAAAACGTCTGCAATGCCTAAGCTTGATCAAAGTTTGTTGGTCCTTATTGAGTAGTTGAACATATCACTGGCAATAGGTAAAGGTTAGAGAAATTAGTACTGGTCAGTATAAAGAATCGCATTTAGATCATATGAAGTTAGTATGTGATGATAATGATGTTCCAACCCAGACTAATGTGATAGACTCTGACAATTTTCCTGACTCTGTACCCTCTACCTCTAATACTCAGTCAGATGATCAGCCTGAATGTCGTTATTCCCTATGTACACGACAGGTATTGAGAAATCCTCAAGTATCATTTGTAACTACCAATTCAGAGCCGCCTCAAATACGGCATGAGTTAGCCAGTGCAACAGAATTTGATCCTCCCAGAGATGACACCCATTCTGCATATGTCAATCTCACCCTAGCAGAGTTGGGGTTAAATGTAA